CATCTTTTATAGCTAAGTTATATTCATTACGAAAGTAAACATTTCGTCGTGATGTTTTGTCCCGACGTCGTCCCCACACTTTGAATTCAATTTCCTCTAAATTAAAAGGATTATATGAAATATTGTATAGAGCATTGATAAAATGATGATACAAAGGCGCAGGAAGAAGTTAAGCATGAGCCTGTAGAGATTTTTCTATCGTTGCAGTGTACCGAACCCCCGAATCAGAACTGGTATTCACGACGCTAATGAACGTGAAAAAATGTTGGAAGTTTTTCTAAATTATATTTTATTGAAAAGACATTTTTTTACATTAATTTGTAATGCTATAGTATAAAGTAACAGTAAACTGTAATTATAAACACAGCACGATGATTAGTAATGGAAAGGAATCAATAAACATAACGAGCCAAGTACTAAACAAAGTAAATAATTAAAGTTGATTTGGTTATTAATGATACTCAAAACTTTAATATCTTTGAAATTTATTTATTAAAAGATTTTCGTTTACAAATACGTTTATAATATATACAGGAATATGCTTTTTCAAAATAAAATGGTCAAATATAATATGGTTTCATATATATCACCACTAAACAAATTGAGTGATATAATATAGATCGTAAACGAGTAAATAGGATTAGACTAAAAAGAGTTTTTTTTACATTAAATTAGAATCTTTTTAAGCAATGATAATTGTCATTAAAAGAAGCGTAAATTATGAAGAATTTGAGTATTAATAAATACTACGATAAAAAAAAAATAATATTGAATTTTAAATGATTTTGTACACGGTGGTGCGTACATAATGAATACAGTGAGAATAATTACGTATCTTGCATTGATTTTGTCTTTGTATTTAAAAGAAGATAAAATCTAGATTCATCATTGATGTTTATATTTCAACATACAACATATCACAAAGGACGATTAGTAGTGATAACCTCGCAACTAGGTATGGCAATTTTTGTGTTGATTCTTTCTAGATAAGACCTATTTGGGTTCGCGTATTAGTGAGAGTGAGAGAAAGAGAGAGAAAGTGAGAGTGAGAGAGAAGCGGAGACACAGTAGTTCAATAGAATAAGCAAGTGACTAAGAGATAAATTGAGAGAGAGAGAGAGAGAGAGAGAGAGAGAGAGTGAGTGAGTGAGTGAGTGAGTGAGTGAAGGAGAGGGAGATAGTGGGAAAGTGTGAATGATTGACTGATCGAGAGAATTTGAGATAGATTGAGAGAGCTTGAAAGAAATTGAGAGAGAATGAAATAGAGAATGAGAGCGAATGAGAGAGAGAGAGAGAGAATGAGAGAGAATGAGAGAGAATGAGTGAGAGAGAAGGATATTGAGAGTGAGGGTGAGTGAGTAAGCGAGACAGAGGGAGAGAGAGAGAGAGAGAGCGATGATTTGGTGGTAGGTAAGTGTGCGGGGCGCTGCATGAGGTGCATTGTTGTGTTTCAGTGCTCGCCTCCATGCCAGGTCTGACGCTCAACTCCTTGAACACACCGTCGCCGAAGAAGCTCTTCACCTGCCAGCTATGTGGCAAGGTACTTTGCAGCAAAGCATCCCTGAAGCGCCACGTGGCCGACAAGCACGCCGAACGACAGGAGGAGTACCGATGCATCATCTGCGAGCGGGTCTACTGCTCGCGAAACTCCCTGATGACCCATATTTATACGTATCATAAGAGCAGACCCGGCGACCTTGACATTAAGTTCTTTTGAAGGTTTAGATAAGGTAGGGCGCCATATCAACCAGCAAACAAACCAAACAGCAAACAAACTATTAACTTATGAGATATATAAGTCTAACTACTCTTGACGATATTTTAATAACTACTACTCATTTTATAATAATAACAAGCAATCGTCGAACACCTTTTTCTTTTTATTTTATATATACACACGTATTCATCTATATATTCACACGAAAAGCACACAGCCCATATATATGTATATATATATATATATATATAAATATATAAACAAACACACTGATGCATCCACCACCCACCCATCCACCCACCCACGCAACGACGCGCACGCGCACCCACACACACACACACACACACACACACACACACACACACACGCCACTGTATATAGGTGCATATGTGTGTATCATTCTTCCTGATTAATTCAACAGCACTACTATTAGTCACTTATTGTTCCTTTTTTTAACCGATAAAATGTGTTGCATTTTTCAAATAGACGTTCCATTGGCCATGAATGCCAATGATTTTGGGATTGTACACATTTTATTGGTCTTTGATGAATAGTGGGCTTGACCCTTCGCACATAGAATAAGGGATACACTATCGGTTAATGCATCGAAGCGACCTTGACTTCCGCTTACTAACCAAATTTCTATTAAATCTTCATTTAGTTCACTATCTTCTTATTAGTTTTCTAATAATTCTTTCTATAATTTTTATTATATTTATAATTCATATTATTATTATGAATTTCAATTAATTAACTGTTTAACATAAATGTCTCGAATAAAACTGTTGTTTTTTTTGTTTTTTTTTATCATTATCTTTTTGTTAATGGGAATTGCATGCAACGGAAAATGTTTTTCTAATTTTATGAAAATGTCAAAATATTTGAAAAATAAATTTTCATCATAAATAAATTTTTAAAGGATTGTTGTAAAGATAGAACGATACGAGCTTAAGTAATGTTTGGCAATTTTGGATTTTTAATTATTATTGGATGGAATTTTAATTATTAAAAACCACTAACGTACTATTAAATAAGAATTTGTGATAATAAAAATTTTTTCGAGACCTCGATTTTTTACAAATGTAACAACAGCCTCTATTTACTTTTAATTATATCGAAAAGTTGGATTACATAATTAATTAATCCATAACTAAAATCAATAATATTTTTTTTAAAACAATTAAATTCGGTTCATTTAAGTTGTACTATAATTAAACATACTTTCCAGCACATACTTTTTTATGTTTAAAAGGTTCGAATTTCTTTCTAATCTCCAACTGTAGAATTACTGTCGGTTTTCGGGGTTATTGATCTATTTCTTCCGGTCTGTCCAATTCTCTTAGGCGAAGTTTGACCGTAGCACAAACTCGAGAACGAACTGCATCGATCATTGTTTAATGTGTTTCATTTTGGAATTACATTATTTTTGTTAAAATGGATGTTTTCTTTCTTTTCCTTCATCCATACTGTCAAGATCATAAAAGTTCTTCGTTTCCTCTGGATTTGAAGTAGAAAAGTTTTCAAGTCGTTCTCGAGTTCCATCGGCTTGGCGAATCCATATTTGCACGATAATGCGAAATAATACATCGGCTCAAAACATATCGCATAAAAGCTTCAGGTTTCCACTAATCCAGGCCTATGTCCTTTTTATTTTGAAAGTTACTAACTCCTTTTTTATCCCCTTTCTATTACATTTGCTTATATTGTATATGTATTTTGTATAAAATTATGTGTTGGCTTTGAAATGTTTATTTTTTTACATTGGCTTTTGGTGTTCGCTGTTGTATGCATGTGAGTATTAATGTAATACTTTGGTTCCCTTTTTATCGTATATTTTGCAAATTACAGTTGTCGAATTTTTATTATCCGTATTCTGTATTTTACAACGATACATTTATATATGTATTATATTCTGAATAAATATATACTTGTATATGTAAATATAAATATATATATATATATATATATATATATATATATATATATATATAGTTATTAAATATATTAAAACTATCACTGATAATTTATTTATTAATATAATTGAAATTGTGACTCATAATATTTTTACATTTTTGTGATTTATGTTTTTTGTTATTTATAATCAACATCTTGTTTATAAGGTTTGATTTAAAACAAAAAAATTAAAATTTTAATTCTAAATCTACTTGGAAAAATAAAATTTTAGTCACAATTAAAATTATGAAGATAATTTGAAATAAAATGCTATAGAGTTATGTTTTAGAGATTTTAAATTCGTTGATGCATGTAATAGTTTATTTTAATAACAATTTAAATAATAAAAATATTAAATTGAGTAAGATAATTTAAAACTAACTCTAAGTAAAGAAGATATCGTACTGAAATATTATTAACATTATTGATTATGCTTATACAGCTTATGTAGTTTTAAATTTATTTAGAATTCAATGCGTTGATGGTAAGATTAGTTTAATGCTGCGGTAACATACCTTTATACGTTTACAATAATCGTACTCGTCATAATAACTAAGATAAACAATATTTTAAATCTTAAATTTAATAATATTAAACAATTCAGTATGAGCTCTCCTGAAAATAACCTACTAACAGACTATTAACCTCAACTTATTTATGTCAAAATAATTAAAATTAAAGTCGAGGTTGCTTCGATAATACTTTCGTTTTATACTAGCAGGGCTATGATTGCTTTAATAATCCTCCCAACGTACATTTAAAAATTACAATTCTCAAATGTATCTGTACTTCCGAGTATTAGAACAGAAAATTATCCAGTACTTCTATTAATAATAAATATTCTCCAGTCGTGTCGCACAACCATGCATTTACATTCGCATTCTAAAAATACCTGCAAAGAAAAATAATCGTCTTGAAATTTCTTAATAAATAATTGAACAAGCAGTCTTATGGGTTGAATTACAAGTTAATAAATTTCTAAAGGGAACGTTTTTAATTAACAAAGTTTCTAACTTCTTAACCGTTTCGATTATTTTAATTAAACGATCAATCACCTTTTTTTACTCGTTTATTTTATGCATTTTATCAAGGATTATAACGAAGTTGCTTTTAAAAGATCCATTCGTGATTTCAAATGAATAAAAATGTCATGTAATACATACTCGTTAATAGAGTATAACATAATCTAATGTAACGCCGCCAAAGGAGACATTACGACTGTGTACATTTGCCGTGCCATTAAACGAGATGGTCCTTAGCCATTGCACTTGAAAGCCAAAGTTTAACAGTAAAGGAATGCACGTAAAAGGCAAAGGAGCGAGGAGCGGTCGAAGGAAAGTAACGCGATTCACTAGCTCGCGTGTACGTGAGGAATAAAGAAGCAAGGAGGTACTGGATTACGCGTGGATTATTGGCGCTCGTGGCCCCGTCGTCCTCAGCTTAAGTGACCCTGTGAACGGTGTTTCTTGCTTTTGGATTTCAGGTACGGCTAACGGGATGCATCGCACCGCAGCTACGGCAGCAACGCCTCCCTTAGCCGTGTACCGGATGCCCCCACCCACGGCTGGTGGCATAAACGAGCCTCAAGAATGCCCCTACTGCCGGCGCACCTTCTCCTGCTACTACTCGCTAAAACGCCATTTCCAGGACAAGCACGAGCAGTCCGACACTCTCTACGTCTGCGAGTTTTGCAATCGCCGCTACCGTACGAAGAACTCCCTCACGACGCACAAGAGTCTGCAGCATCGCGGCTCCAGCGGCATGTTAAAGCGCCTCCTGAAAACGTCCGCTATCAAAAGTGTCCTAGGGAACATGCAGCAGCAGCAACAGCAGCAGCAGCAACAACAACAACAACAACAACAACAACAACAACAACAGCAGCAGCAACAGCAACAACAGCAGCAGCAACAGTCTCAACATCCTCAATGAAAGCGGTGGTGCCAGCAGGCCATAACCGCTACGCAGTATCACCGTTATCATCACCACATTCATCATTATCACAGCAACCATCGGCGCCATCACTTTCCTCATTATTACGCCAGCCGTTATCATCATCATCATCATCATCATCGTCATCGCACTGCTATCGTCCACAACAGTAGTAATCAGCAGCAGCAGCAGCAGCAGCAGCAGCAGCAGCAGCAGCAGCAATCGCGTGATGTGCCGAGCATCGAGAAGGTACACGTTGCTGCATCCCTCGTTGTAATAAAAGAGAAACTGTCGCTCCCAGCGTAAGGACGGTTAAATCGGTTGTATGAAATGAAAAGCTAAGGTAAGGATGCCCCCTTGCTACGCATCGTTTAATCCTTAATGGAGCTTTTACGCTGTTGGCCAACGCCAGAGTCGATACTTCACTGGTTGGGCATTGCATAATAATCTAGAATTAAAAGCATCGGGGCTTTCCCGCTCAAAGCACGATTAAGACTAACTATTATCCAAAGATCAAGATGTGAAGAAGGAGGAGAAAATTATATGACTGATTAATAACGCACAATGTAGAGCGTAGTCTTTTGACTTTATTTTATTTGAAATTGATGACGGTGCTCCTGATTGCTCGAATCATTTGCTTAAAGCGACCGACTATAACGGCATTTTCGAATTCTAAATTTCTACAAGCAGGGAATATAAAAGTTTTAAAAGTTGTCGGACGCACGCGATTTATAGAGATGGGGATTTGATGAGAACGACGCTCGTGTATTATGTTATGTGGCGGTATGTGTGCAGATGTCTCATGCATAACCGTTGATGTGCACGATTACGAATAACAACTTGGTTTTCAAAAGAAATGTCGCAAGTAATAGCATTAATAAACAACTTGATCTGTATTTGTGAATGTACGTATACATGAAACTTATTTTAGTGATGAGGATCGAGGAATGAATTTTTTGATGATTATAAAATACGTATATATGGAAAATTCAATTACGGAATCCTAATGTGCTCAAATTTAATAAATGTCTGACCGATATAAGCATTTATATATGAATATTTTTGGGGGAGATGTGAGAGAAATTCGGGACGGCGAGGGAACAAACAAAATGATAAGATTGAAGCGTACGAGATTTTGTATAGAGAGGATGTGATTTGAGATAAGTTTCTCCCAAGGATTAATTATTAAAAGAAAATAATATGCGTAAAAGACGAAGAAGATAAATAATACGTTGTATAGGTCCATCGCGAGCGCGAATGCAAACTATATTTTTAACTTTTTAAATGCTAATATTTTGAATCGTGTATATAAACGTATGTATACATTTATGTAAATATGCATATGTGTGCGGCTGCGCGCGTGCGTGCTCGCGTGCGTATATGCGCGTATATGCATGCATACATATGCATGTACGTACACGTATACGTATACGTATACGTGTACGTATAGACATGTGCGCGTACGTATGTCACTTTGTGCACACATATGCATGCGTATATATTCATACGATTGTAACGAAAAAAGACGAATATTCTCTCGTTCTGGTTTTATAAAAAAGAAAAGAAGTGAAAACAAAAGAGTAGAATAAAATAGGAAATGGGAGATATGTGGTGAACTCGATTGCGACCGAATGCCTCTCCAGGCTTGCGCGAGCTATCATTTTTCCCCTTCGTTCTCGAAGCCCTTTTCTCCGCGCCCTCAATTGGCAATTGTGCAATATTACATTTGTAAGACTTTTAATACTGAGTGCGGAGAGCGCTAAATTAATCGAGGCTTTTTGAAAACGTTTGGCCGATTCTCCAAAGAATTGATGATGCCTTTTTGAGAGGAAAAATCGGTACTCAACCGTAATAAATAAGCAATGTTACATTTTGTAAATGATTCTTTCTCAAGTGGGACGCGAGCATTATTGATCATTAAAGTTTTAACAAAAACCTCATCGGAAATCATATCTTCGTATTTTTATAAACGACGAAATTTATGGAATTAAAATCTCGAGCCTGGGGATGCGTTCGTTTGGCGAACAAGTCGTAAAATAAAAAGAAAAAAAAAATAAATAATAAAATAAAATATTCAACGCAAAATATTCAGGTCTTCAACGTAGCATAGTGGGAGTGAGCAGAAGAAAAAAAAATGCCATTTATATATAAAAGAAATCACAATTGAGTACAAATTGCTGAGAAAAAGGAGACCGTTATGATTGTCAAATTTAGTTTGGTTCTTTATTGGGTGAGAGGGAACGTATGGCTTAAATCAGAAGAGATTTCGCAACTGTTAACAGGGACAAACCTTAAACATATCTTCTATATGAGATCGACCGGATCAAACACCGGACAAAGACGATACGATTTTTTCGAGTTTAGCGATGGATTCGTTGGCGGAGTGTAATAAAATGAATCGGCTAGGCACGTTTATACACGCACTCGAGGTGACTCAAGTAATCGGTAATCAAGTAATCAAGATTTCATAATTTAGAATAAATCCTCACTTTAGAGGACCTTGATTGAACAAAGTAAAAGTAAAAGAATAAAAAAAAGAAAAAAAATTTACAAGCGGTTTGCACGTAATGCGGGGGGCTTGCAAAATTGTGAGTATTTCGAGCAAAAGGAAATTTTATACGTTTCGAGCCCTGCGAGGCGGGAGGAAAAAAACGTTCGAGAGGAATGAGGAAGCCGTGACGCTAGTGAAATTGTACCTAGTCATTTTCGGGAATTCTGTATTTCTGTGATAAAAGGAGAAATAAATGAACAAAAATGAGACGAATAAAGTCAGGGCTGATAAATAAAAAAGAAAAGTCCCCACATTATCGTGCAAGCGGCCGTGCGTATTTCTCATTTGTCATGCGAGGTAAATCGTAAATAATGATGCAAATTGGCTATTTAAAAATATTGTAAAATTCTGTGATGTTCTTTCGTTTATATAATATTAGATAATGAGAGAGAAGCGCTAAAAAATTTATTAAAACAAATCGTATACGGATTTTACGTCGATGTTTAATGATGTATATGTAAAATTGTTAAGAACACGAGTCTAACGAATGTACGAGAAGCAAAGGAAATCTTCCAAGCGTTAAGGATTCTTTTAAGGGTAAAAAGGGACACGAGTTGAAAGAAGAAAATGCACAAGACCGACGCCGTCGAGTAGTTGGTGCCGCTTTAATCGCTATGAAATTCGCTTATAATTAAATTAGGATAATAATTTTACGAGTAGCCAGCGAAAAAGAGATTCGAAATGAGCAAGAGATGCAAAATGAATTCGAATAAATGATTGCGACTGTACGATGCCAAAGGCCAAATGACTGCTCGTTTATAAATAAATTTATAAATAAATACTATGTTTTGTGCTTTTTCGAAAACGAAACCAAAGTTCCAGAAGACGGCGTTTCTATTATTAAGTGCGCCTGCATTTCGCTCGGCGACGTCGGCATTTTTCTCGTTCCATAGTTAATTCATAAACATATCTTTCCAGGGTACACACTTGCCCTTTGTCATTGATTTGATATCTCGAGATGAAGGAAAATATCAACGGCGGGCGACTGCTTAAATATTTAAAAGGTTTAAAGGAAAATCTTCTAATGATGTGCCAAGTATTTTCTTTCGAAATTGCGAGTATATAATAGAAATATGTTAATTATAATGTTTACACGTGGGTGTAGCGGTGAGGGAGATTGGTGCGTCTTATCATTTGTAATTTTTGCGGGAGATGCGCTTAACTTGCACTGCCGTCATCGAATTACGATTTTACTATTCAATCTAGCATTTTAAAAGAAAATTGTAATACAAATAAATCACGCATGGGGAAAACAATTCTATCATTATGGTATACGTAATCGAAGGATTTCGTGCTATTCGAACGTTAAGCTCAACTCGCCTCGTTCGTCGATTTTCAAGGAGACTTATCATAAGAAACGAAAAGAAATGTTTTTCACTTATCTATTTTTATTTGTACTTTATAATATTGTCATAAGCGTGTAAATATGATATAACGTTAAATAGATACGGATTCTTCATATGTATGTTGTATATCAAAGGGTAAAAATGGGTGAGATATATATATATATATATATATGTGTATATATATATATATGTCTGTGCGTGTGTGTGTCTGTGTGTGTGATATGCGTGTACGCGCGCGTATATATATATATATATATATATATATATATATACATTTATGACTTTCACATTTGGGACTGCAATCGGATCGGTGATGCTATAAAAGAAAAATGAGAAGAAGCAGTACGAGGGACTATATTATGCATAGACATATATTTTTAAAAAACTTTCAAAAGGGATTCCGATGCTTTTCAGAAGAAGTCCGATAAAAATATTCTTTGCAAAAGAACAAATCAGTTTATTTTTATCCGATTTTACTTCGAGAGGATCGGCGAAGAAATTTTCTTTCTTATTCGTTCCGTGAAACTTTGTTCTTAATTTCAATGGGAGTCACGTGAATCTTTGCTTATTGAAACAAGCAGAGCGCGCTTATGTGCTTCTTTCTTAATACTTCAGATATCTATAAGCATTTCAACCCAAAATGAGGGACAAGACTTAAAAAAAATACTTTTTTTTTTCTTAATATAATTTCGGAGCTACGTCGGATGAAGTTAGCACAGTGTAGACGAAGCTCGCGTTGATTTTTTTTGTTTTGTTTTTGGCGCTGTGAAAGAAATATTTTGATAAAGCGAATTTATTTCGGAGAAGGCTGATTTTTCTAATTTTTAAATATCAGTTTAATTAAGGGATTGAAGAAAGAAAAAAAATTATGTGTAACATTATCTGTTTTGCCTTTTAATTCCTGTTCTTAGCGGGAATCGACTGATTAGACTGTTTTTTTTTTTTTTTTTTTATTATTATTTTGATTGGTTTAAAGTTCGTCTTGTTAAATGTGATATTGACGTACCAAAGAGCATCGGAAAAGCGTTTCCCTTCGCGGGTTAACGTCATGTGTGGCTCGTTATTTAAAAAAATTTTTTTTTATTACCGTGGTCGCTTCTAAAATGGAAGAAAAATTTTTTTATCATTTTAGTGTTATATTATTTTAAAAGGTTGTTTTTTGATTTTGCATTGCAAAAGTTTCGTAAAAATTAGGCAAATAAAACGAGTCGCGCGTATATGAGAACATTAAGAATGTATTACTTTGTGAGATAATCGCTCTTTTATGTTTGAAATACTTCATTTGGATTCT